GGGGTCGTATCATCTGTTCCAAATTCCAGAGTATCTGGAGCCCTCAGCCTGCTGGGAGGGGGGAGAGGGCGGGGACTGGCTCCTCCGCACACTCTGACTCCGGGAGGAGTTGTCTTTACCAGCATCGCTCCATCAGTCGGCCAAGATCGACCCGGGTGACTTGCTTCCAGGATCGTCCAGATTGGGAGTCATGTAAGGGTGCTCTTCTAGCTCCCCTTTGCCACAGATAATTTAGTATACATTTTTTACGTACCATGCCCATATTTTCTACCCCAATTTGGAACTGCTTGGTGGAAAATGAGCCTGTTCTGGAAAACTAGTGATGGTCTCCATGTGTAGAGATCTCCCCAAAACTTAGCTAAGAGCCTCCCTACTTTTGCAGCCTTGGAGCTCCCTGACAAGGGGAGCGGCGGGGGGCTGGCCAGTGGCTAGGCTACTCAGGGAGCAGAGGGAGCCGGAGACAGAGCCAGGACCAGGCTGTGGGAAGCCGGGGTGCAGCTGAGAAAGCTCCTGAGGACACATTGATTTATCCATGCCAAGCACCAGTCAGGTGACATAGCTTCGCAGCAACACACTGAAGTCGGTGTTATGTTTTTCCTGAAGAGCTGGGGCTCGAGAGCCTGGTGGAGCCTGCTTCTGATCCTCTCGCACTGTGACCCTAAAGCCAGAGCTGGTCAGCAGTGCTATGGCGGGACTCCAGCTGACCAGCCTCCCCCAGCTCCTCCCATGGACCGATGGATGAGTCTCTAAGTCGACTCCAGCTCTGGCCCCGGGTGACTCCCCATCACCGTCAGGGCCCTCCTGCCTGTTAATCGGGGTGACAGGTGCAAATAAAGAGGGTCTTTCAATACCCGGCTACTGGGTGTGAGACACAAACAAGGTGCCCACAGGAGGCCACAAAGATCCCAGCTTCAGACAATTGTTCAGATTAGATGGGCATGAGTGGTCCTGAGAGAGGCCCTCACCCAGGGACCTGGGGACGCCCCCCGCGGGGACCCTGGGGAGGGCGCAGGGCTGCGGTAGGGCGGGGGGACCCGCAGCGCCCAGCGCAGCTGAGGCCTCGGACGGCGGGGCAGAGGCCGGGCTGCAGCGAACCTGGGACTGTCCACCGTGGCGTTTTCAGAAACTAGAGGAGTTTGTTCGTGCCGCTGTTTCTTAACTGACCCCTTTACAGGCTGTGCCAAGTGCTGCAGCCTGGGAAGTGCGGGCAGGGCGCGGGGCGGCTGTCAGCCTCCGGCCCAGAGACCCCGGGAGGGTGGCGAGTCGGGGGAGGGGGCTCCCCTGGGAGTCTCGGGGGAGGGGCTTCTGTGA